CCTTGTTTTCGATGGTCAGAAATCTTCGTTGAACAGCATATCTTTATTATGAGCGAATTAGGTGCTCTTTCCGCCTTAGTCTATTGATGCTTATGAACAAGATGCTTCAGCTGTTGCCGAAGCAGTTGGGATCAAAAATATCATTGGCGCTCATTCAAATGGTTGTCTCCTCGAAGGAACTGCACTTGCCATCGGTCTACCACTATTTCCCAGCTATATACCAGGTTCACAACTAGTCTGGAACAGTTTCTCCTATTCAGAAATTCTTCTTTTAGCATCTCTTGGGGTCAGTGACGACTCTTCTACCTTTTCGACGCGAGTTACTAATGTTCTATTTGCATTTCTATCTTGGTATCAGCAGAGGGTATTGTGTGCCGCAGCAGAGAAAGTGATGATACAAAAGCTTGGTCCGCAAATCACTCCAGTTTGGGTGAGTTAAGGCCGCTCACCCATTTAATAGGAAAATCTTTTTATAGGAAACTATGTCCAATATGACTTGGGTTCTTAGCAATTCGGAACCACTTCTAGACTTCCCCAAACCCACATTGAACAAAATTGTCGAAATCGGGGGTATTGGTGTCTCGGAGGCGCAACCTCTCAATCGCGTAATTTTTTTCATGCTGAGACTTTTTCCTTTCGATCTTATGTGTTTCTCAGGAGTGGAGTGATGTGCTTGATCTGAGACCAGCAACGATTTTGATATCTTTCGGTACTGTGGCACCAAGTGTCTATATGCCAGACGGGATGAAGGGATCCATTATCAACGTTATCACGTCGTAAGTGCTGTTCGGTGTAATATTGCGCAGTCACCAGAGTTTAACTAATTTCAATAATGAAGAAATGATTAAAAATTACAGATATCCCAATGTCACATTCATCTGGAAATATGAGCAGCCCGATGATCCACTCTTTGCGGGTATTGAAAATCTGATCGCTTCAAAATGGGTGCCTCAGAACGATCTATTAGGCTTGTTGTTTGTTTCTTTGAAGGTTGTTTGCTTTATCTTAGGAAACATTACACGATAGATTTTCCAAGAAAAGAATAGCAACGCAGGACTAGCAATAATCTTGAAATTTTTTCACGCAATGAGTTAACTCATGTTTTATATAGAACTCCTTTTATTTGAGAACTCTTTGCTTTAAAAGTTCCGTTCGTCGCATCACTGCATACATTGTGAGAACCCTATTCAATTCAGCTGACGATCGTCTATCGCTTTTCACCACACATGGTGGTTCTGGCAGCATGCTGGAAGCAGCTACTTACGGGAAACCGTTAATTCTTGTTCCTCTGTTTGGCGATCAAACAAGAAATGCCAAACTTGTAATTAAATATGGTTTTGGTAAGTAAAACTGTAAGCAGTGAGGACTGCTTAGCTATTTGCAATTTAGGCATACTGTTGGAGAAAGCACTTTTGATGGAGAGTAATGTGCTACGTGAGGCAATTCACAAGATCTTCGATGAAAAAAGGTGAAGCGGTTGTCCTCAAGTTCACCTAGTTAAAAATGCAAAAGAAGTATTACCGCACTTTATGTCGCTTTACAATACTTCGCTTTATAAGCATTTTATTGAGGCTTAATCTACGGAAGTATTTGAAAATAACTTTGGAGACAGAATGCTCATGAAATTAGTAGTCGAGAAAATGTTAATAATGATCGAGAAAACATTTACTTTATAGTGTCTCTTCAACCATTTGCTTAGGTATCGCAACGCAGCACTCAGAATGCGCAGGATGTTGTCGCAACGCGTGATGAACCCCAAAGAAAAGCTCGTGAGAACAATTCAGCTGGCTGCTGAGTTTGGAACTATACCCGAACAACTTGTAGCAGGAAGGAACTTGAGCTTTGTTGTCTATTATAATATTGATTTGATATTACTTGCACTCTTGCTTCTAGCTATAAGTGTTTTTGTAATTTCCTACTTTATATTATATATTTATAGATATTTTATGTCAGACTTTAAAGCTAAGTTACAGTGATACTTAATGAGTCCAAAGCGACCATTAAGCACTTTCGAATTTGACACCCTTCTTATGAGTTAAGTATTACGAAATGTCAATTTGGGACTTGTTCCTAGTTAGAAAACTTTATGTGTAGAGAATTTGCTTTTCTTTTCTTGTAAACCTTGACAGTGCGGAATTTTGCTCTAGATTTCTACCCACTCCAGAGACGCGGCTGCACTATCTGTGCGCTTCCATTAAAACGAAGGTTTGTGAAGACGACGATTAGTTGGAAAGCGTACATGAGCCGGTTCCAATAAAATATTCAATCAAACCTTGTTTTGGTGGAAATAAAAAAATAAGATTCCGCCATATGTGAAAAACAATGGGAAAATACAATACATACTGCCTGCTATCATCATTGAAAAAAAAA